AAAACATAGAGAGGAAAACAAGAAGAAAAGGGACAAGAAGAGAGGGACAAAACCTAGAACAGATAATGGATGTCTATTCTATTAACATTTCTCTATCTGGAGAATGGGGCTGTTTTATGTCTTGTCTTCTCCATTCAGACGTCCCCCTGCCTGTCTTTGCCTCGGGTCCCACATTTCCTAAATCTGCCCCTGCAGCTAATTATTGCCCTATATGTTCTGGAAGAAGAGCCAATCAAGGCCCCACATGGAAAGCAGTTATTATGAACACATAGTTGGCTTATATGTTCTATTTTTTCAGCCATTCTTAAAATCAGCCATATTGGAAGAAATTATCTTTTTTGTCAAGCGGATCATCTCTGGGTTTTAACTAGGCCACTAATTAACCTTCATTTAGTTTTTTATGATGTTTAGGCATTCAGAGGTGAAAGAGGTTCTGAGCTGTGTAGATTAAATTCACATAGATTCAACCTCCTGGTTTACATCTCCAGGTCATCAGGTCCTGAAGTAGAACAGCAGCCACATCAATTCACTGCAGTTTCATCATTTTCTACTGCCAGCTGTTGAAATTTATCTCTCTGTTCACTAAAAGGATTCATTTTATGCAAAGTTCACATTATAAACCTTTGGTAACAGTCACATGTGTCATAAAGCCTGTGTATGAAGTTCTTAAATGAAAAAAAAAACACTATTTCCCTTCCATCATTAATTTTTTCCACCTATTAGCTTGAAAATAAGCCGCTGTTCTGTCAGATGATCATACCCAGTCAGACCAGCATACCCATAGTCAATACCAGTTTATCCTTTTACTTTTGTACAAAAAATAAACTTTAAACTACCTTAATGGGCGTGTATCCCTTTAGTCATGTAAAAAAAACAATTTAATTACTGGGTTTTGGGTGTTTTTTTAAAGCTTATGGCGATCTTACCATAAAAAGTTTTCTTTTGTGCATGACCAAAGGGATACATGCCCGGTGAGGTAGTTTAAAGTCTATTTTTCATACAAAACTAAAGGAATGAAC